CTATACCAGCATCAACTTCAAAATGGATAGGATCAATTCAGAAGCCATCTACAGAAATATGTGGGGGTTGCTCAGGTGAAATGATTGAGCATGTATCCTATGCAGAGGTTCCAAAGATTATCATCCTGGAGTACCCATACTGTAATACTGAAACTAGTCACAAGGTAAAGTTTGTAGTAAATGGAGAAGAAGTTTTACTGAGCCTGAGAGGGATCATATACCATGGGGATAATCATTTCACCTCTAGAGTTTTTTCATATGAAGGTAAAGTTTGGTTCCATAATGGGATAACCACCAAAAATAAGTGTATAGAAGATGGGCAGCTAGATGATAAAAGCAATAATGATCTTAGATACTATCAAGATCAGGAACTTGTTTTGGCTGTATATTCTCAACTTTAAATTAGAACTTTGTCTTGATAAATTTAACATTAAAATAGAATTCTAGATTAATATCTTTATAACATTGAATGCAAGCCACATTGATTTGAAGCAAATGATTATAAAGAATTGTAAATAAATGTCAAATGATTTTGCAATTTTTTAGACATTGTTACTGTAACATTATTCACAATCTCTTGGTTTACATTAATGTGGCTTGCATCCATTGTTGATGAAAATGTTAAAATATGCCTTTTAAAAAAAAAACTTACTCTACATATTTTTCAGCATTGGAGGTCCATGGGAAGGACTCATACATGCCATGCGCAGCACTGGCCCACACCCACAAGTGGTTGATTTTGTGGTGAGTGTCCATGAACTATCAGTGATCACCTGAAAAATTTGCATTGGATACATTTCACTCCATCTAATTGGCCCCATCACATTTTGTGGACAATACCCCTTCCCTTTGAGCTGTTGATACTGACGTAAGAGAGCATTACGCAGTTGGCCATTGATTGATGGAGGTAATTGGCCATTGTATTTAAGGTTGGTAATGTCATCAAGAAGCTCAAGTTCTCTAAACTCTTGTCGAAGATAACCAGATGCACCACAGGTAATCTTTGATGGATCAAATCCTTGTACAATTACAGTTCCTTCACATGTTGCACTTCTAGAAAGAGCAGTATAGTAAGATAGGTGGTTACGACAGCTATTTAAATCCACTACATTGAATGGACGAGTCTTTCCTTGTGATGCATAGTCTGTCATTGCAAAGTTAGGTAGCACAGACACCTGAGAACGGGATATAGTGAGAGTAACATCACTTGGACAGATACATTCAATAGACATGCTGTTCTTTACTAGTGGAACTACATTTTCAGGCAATCCCTCAATCTTGATTGTCTTGGCAGGACGATCAAGCTTTACAAACAAAGTTTCAAGGATTCGTTGTCCACTTAGGCCCAACTTTGCATCCCATCCAACGACATGACCTTCTTGACCTTTTGTTATACATAATTCTGTTGCATCATTATTTCGTATTATAACTGGCATACCAATACACAGTGAAAGTTTTCCGGGAACATGATCAGAGGCCGAATGGCGCAAGTTCCAAAGTAAATTTTGAAGCTTTGGACTGATAGTTTTGTATATAGCAGTTTTCTTAGGTCTTCCACGAGGCTTTTTACCAGTGACTGGATCACACTCAACCCCCAGTGTATCCACAGAGTAAAAGTCAGTGAGGGTTTGGCCAGTATCTGCTGCAAAACGTGCAGAAC